GTCAAAACTTGGCACCAGTTAGGGTACATTCTCGGTAGGGTGCATGTTAGTTTTCCGGGGTGTTACCGATAGTGCACCGGGGGGAGGTTACTGGGCACCCAAAAGAGAGACGCGATTGGCTAGTTTTGTATTTAGCTAGAAATTCGGGGAGGTCACAGAGCACCCAGAAGAGAACCATGATTGGCTACCTTGCATTTAGCTGGCATCACGGGGGGGTGTCACAGATCACCCAAAGGAGAAGCTGCATTTAGTCAGTTTGCATCCAGCTAAAGTGACCTATTGCTTCACACCAGCGGTTATCATATTTCCCCAGCCATGAACATATTTCATTAGTGCTGCTGCTGGGGCTTTTCATTCTTTCCCTCCTTGGCCCCCCTCCCTTCTCTGGTCAAGACCCTTGACCGAGACTGGCAGAGAACATGACACTTAGTTTGGTTCAGGCTTGTGGCCTGCAGGGCGGGCCTATATGACGAGTCTTCGCCGATGTTCTGATCGGTGCAAGGGAGGCCAGCCAGGCCTATTCCCTCACAACCTGCTGAGCGGTGCTGAAGGCAGGGTGCTGCTCTGTGGAGCCCCTATCTGTCTCCATTGTTAGTTACCCTCCTGGTCTGTCATCCTGTGCCGTAGAGGTCAGCAGGGCGCCCTGCGAGTGCAGGGGACTGCTGGCACGGAGTTTATAGCAGGGTTGGGCCTTGCCGAAGGAATGGCTCTGGAGCTGACGGGGAAGGAAGAGCGAGTGATCCCTCTCAGGTCCCTAACTTCTCCTCTCGTTTGTTTGCTTTGCTGCAGGAAGTTTGAATTGTACAGCATGGCATGGAACCTGAAGGAGGATCTGCGGGATTGCCTGGTGGCTGCTGCACCTTATGGGGGCCCCATTGGTACGGCCAGGACAAGCAACCTCTCCTAATGGAGAGAGGGTTGTGGTGTGGGTTGTGTGACCTTGGATGTTCTCATTCTCCGAAAGCTGCTAGCTCTGCTCCAGGCCAGGGTGGGGGCTCAGTTTGCAGCAGGTCCATTTGGATCCTGAGGTGCCAGTTTGTCTTCCTGACCACACGTGTCCCTGTCTCCCCAGGGCAAATAGCCCCAGGGCTAGAGCTTTAAAGCAGGATACGTCGATTTCAACCAAAGGGATTGAAATCACTGATTGTAATCGTGGTTTAAATCAGCCAGCAGGAAACCTTGATTTAAATCATCCACTGGAATCGTATTTTGCATTTGTACTTTCTAGTTATTTTCCTAAAATAAAGATTGATTCTCATTGGTTGGTCACCATTTAAATATGTAGATTTCCAACTAAATTTAGCTTTTACCCTAAACGTCATGCTTCTTTTGGCTAACCAAGAGGCTACACTATATCTATATGCATTTAATTAAGCAATTCTATTTATTCATATTCTTAATTTTTACGTTTTTTATGAGGATGGAAAATGGTGAATGATGCATTTCTTATTTACTAGATGGTTAATTTTTTATTGTGATTTGGCTCAAGCTTTATTTAGATGGAAATTCATATTCAATTAAAATGCACAAAACCAGCATTTAATTTTTATTTAAGTAAGTAAAAATACCTTAAATGTGCTGTATACATAAGAAAAAAGTATCAAAGTTCATCAAAACACATTTTGCATTTAAACGTGATTTATTAAACAATAATAGGGATTGTGTCCATAGCGTCTGTTTGCCAGAAGCTGGGAATGGGTGACGGGATGAATCACTTGATGATTACTTGTTCTGTTCATTCCCTCTGGGGCACCTGCATTGGTCACAGTTGGAAGACAGGATACTGGGCTAGATAGACCTTTAGTCTCACCCAATATGGCCGTTCTTATGTTATGATCTTATTAAACAAAGGAAGTAAGTATTATCTTATCTTAGTGAATGGAACTGATTGTTTCTGGTTACCAACTCCTTCGGGATTTTAGAACTAGTAGATTTCATCCTCTCACACCTTGTTTTCTTCGTAGATTGGAAGAGGAAAACAAGCTTTCCTGCTTTTTCAACATCCATTTGATTTCTTCACTTTGAATGAACTAGTCATTGAACTGGACTAGTTGAATAAACTGAATTGAAGAAAACATTCTCTGCACCTGCTGTCAAAAGCCGGTTTAGCACTTCAGCAAACATTAGTTCCCAGTGCTTAGCCAGTGACTATACGAGTTCTGTGCTTTGACTTTCTTAAAAACCTCAGCAGCAAACATACTACTTAATGTTGTTTTTTGTATTTCATTTATTTTTATAGAGTGTAGTAAGTTTAGGCCCTAGTATAGGTTGTCAGTTCAAATTTAAGATTAAATAGGATGAACTTTTAAAAATAAACCTGCATTTAATTTTTTTTAAAGAAAATCTTTGATTTCCCCCCCCCCCCCTTTCACCCTGCTTTAAAGTGACCCTCTGTTAGAGTCTCGGTTGGGAAGAGGTTATTCTATGCCAGCCTTTGTGCAGAGTGCGTCTCCGCTAGACTTCTCACATCTTCCTCTGCAGCCAAACCCCGCAGCACAGGAGCTAATGGGGAGAACCAGGAAGGGATACTGACCAGACTAGGGACATTGTCTGAGCGGAACTGAGGGGCAAGGAAGGATTATGTAAATTAGGAGTGGGAAATGGTGAACTGCTCACCCGTGATGCAGGGGAGGAGGCTGAGCCTTGTCCCGCTGCAGTCCTGGGGAGCACGGGGCCTTTTGACGGTCTCCCGAGAGCAGGGTGGTTTGGGTTCCCTGTTGTTGTTTCACTGCAGATTGTCTCTTGCAGCTTTGCTGAAGAATAACTTCAGGAAAGAGAAGTCACCTGGTTCCCGACCGCTGCTGGAGATCTACTCGGCCTCGGGCGTTCCCCTGGCCAGCGTTCTGGTGAGTGCCTAGCTCGGTGTGGCCAGCTAGTGCCAACTCCCTGTGGGCCTGTCCTACTGGTAGCACCTGGACGCAGGCGATATCCTTTTAGCTCCACTATGTTCATAGAATCATAGAAGATCAGGGTTGGAAGGGACCTCAGGAGATATCTAGTCCAACCCCCTGCTCAACGCAGGACCAACCCCCAACTAATTCACTTTTATTTCCTTCCCGTGTGTCCCTCCGAGGTGTCTTCAGGAGCTTGGAACTGATTGGCCTGCGTCTGGGGCGGGAAGTCTGGAGCACAGGGCTTCCTAGGCTGCACAGAAGCAGTGACGTGTGTTGTGGTATCCCGCCTCCAGCAGTGGGCAAGGCCCAGTGCTTCAGATGCCAGTCTGACAGTGGCCTATGGGAGGAGGGGCTGGACACAGCCCGCCGACCCTGGCAGCAATCAGGAGACGTCCTGGAGTAGGAGGATGGATTATCCAAATTTTAGCTGTTATTTATTTCCAGTGAAGCCCACAATGCACTCAATACCGAACAGGCTCGGGCCCTGCCCCCAGGAGCTTGCAGCCGGGGTGGACTAGGACTTCCAAGATCATGTCTCTGCCACTGCCTTTCTGTGAGGCCTTGGGCTAGTCATTTAGCGTCTCAGTGCCTCGCTCCCCCATCGTCTGGTCTATGTTGATTTTCATAGAATCATAGAATATCAGGGTTGGAAGGGACCTCAGGAGGTATCTAGTCCAACCCCCTGCTCAAAGCAGGACCAATCCCCAACTAAATCATCCCAGCCAGGGCTTTGTCAAGCCGGGCCTTAAAAACCTCCAAAGAAGGAGACTCCACCACCTCCCTAGGTAATGCATTCCAGTGCTTCACCACCCTCCTAGTGAAAAAGTTTTTCCTAATATCCAACCTAGACCTCCCCCACTGCAACTTGAGACCATTGCTCCTTGTTCTGTCATCTGCCACCACTGAGAACAGCCGAGCTCCATCCTCTTTGGAACCCCCCCCCTCAGGTAGTTGAAAGCAGCTATCAAATCCCCCCTCACTCTTCTCTTCTGGAGACTAAACAATCCCAGTTCCCTCAGCCTCTCCTCATAAGTCATGTGCTCCAGACCCCTAATCATTTTTGTTGCCCTCCGCTGGACTCTTTCCAATTTTTCCACATCCTTCTTGTAGTGTGGGGCCCAAAACTGGACACAATATTCCAGATGAGGCCTCACCAATGTCGAATAAAGGGGAACGATCACCTCCCTCGATCTGCTGGCAATGCCCCTACTTATACAGCCCAAAATGCCGTTAGCCTTCTTGGCAACAAGAGCACACTGTTGACTCATATCCAGCTTCTCGTCCACTGTGACCCCTAGGTCCTTTTCTGCAGAACTGCTACCCAGCCATTCGGTCCCTAGTCTGTAGCAGTGCATGGGATTCTTCCGTCCTAAGTGCAGGACTCTGCACTTGTCCTTGTTGAACCTCATCAGGTTTTTTTTGGCCCAATCCTCTAATTTGTCTAGGTCCCTCTGTATGCTATCCCTACCCTCCAGTGTATCTACCACGCCTCCCAGTTTAGTGTCATCTGCAAACTTGCTGAGAGTGCAGTCCACACCATCCTCCAGATCATTAATAAAGATATTAAACAAAACCGGCCCCAGGACCGACCCTTGGGGCACTCCGCTTGAAACCGGCTGCCAACTAGACATGGAGCCATTGATCACGACCCGTTGAGCCCGACGATCTAGCCAGCTTTCTATCCACCTTATAGTCCATTCATCCAGGCCATACTTCTTTAACTTGGCGGCAAGAATACTGTGGGAGACCGTATCAAAAGCTTTGCTAAAGTCAAGGAATAACACATCCACTGCTTTCCCCTTATCCACAGAGCCAGTTATCTCATCATAGAAGGCAATTAGGTTAGTCAGGCACGACTTGCCCTTGGTGAATCCATGCTGACTGTTCCTGATCACATTTTAACGCTCTGGGGCAGGGGCTGTCTCTGACTGTGTGCACAGTGGGGCCCCAATCTCAGCTCAATCCTCTTCTGTAACAATGAATGAATACCGCAGCCTGGGGGAGCCAGAGCTAGTGCCCAGGGTCTGGGTGTGAGCAGCGAGGGAGGTGGTGGTACCAGCAGTGACAGAGGCGGTGACATGGGGAGGGCATGGCCGTGAGACGTTGACCTCCTGGAGGAGACAGACTGAGTTGGAGGCGGAGAGGCTGGGAAGGGAGGGACAGGTCAGCAGCAGAAGGATGCACTTGAAGCTGCATGGGGGCAATATGGGGAGAAAAGGAGGGGGCCTGTGGGACCCCATGGAGATGGGGATCAGCTGGAGGGGGAGGAGGAGAACCAGGGCAGGGTGGAGTCATGAAAGGCCAGGGACAGCCAGGTGCCAAGGAGGAGGGCCTGATGGCTGGGGTTGGAGCAGCAGAGGCTGGAGGCCCAGAGAGGTGGCTTATGGCTCCAGCTCTGCTGTGCGGGCTGGTGTGAATTCCGCAGCGTAGTTACAGGGGTTTCCTGTCACTGTATGAAAGTGACCCCCCCCGGGCAGCGGGACTGATGTGCTGGGCGTGGTTCTGTCCTTCCCCGCAGTGGAAGAGCGGCCAGGTGGTGCAGCTGGGTTGGACTGCCAGCGAGGACCTGCTCTGCATCCAGGAGGATGGCACCGTCCTCATCTACAACCTCTTCTGTGAATTCAAGCGACACTTCAGCATGGGCAACGTGAGTGCGGATGGCGCGGGCTGGGTGGCTTCGTTAGCGAAGGGAGGCTGGGCTGGTATTTGGATCAAGAAAGTGAGAACCAGGACTTCTGGGTTCTGTTCCCTGCTCTAGACGGGAGTTGGGGCTGGGAGCGGGGGTTCTGGGAGCCCTGGACTCCTGGGTTCTATTCCCATCTGTGGGAGGGACTGTGTAATCTTGTGGTTAGAGCATGGAGCCATGAGCCAGGACTCCTGGGTTCTCTTTCTTTATCTGCCATTAATTGCTGCATGACCTGGAACAAATTCGTTCCACTTGGGACTTTGTTCTCCTTTTTGGAGCTGAGGAGTCATGGCCCGGGCCTGGCCTGGCTCCCAGGGGATGATGTGAGGCTGACTCTGTCGCTGTGTGTACCGTGCTTTGACCCCCGAAAGGCGCTGGCGGGGGCAGAGGGGAGGGGACTGTGTTCCGCTTGCCAACAAACTGGCACATTATATGCCTTTGACTGCGCTGGGGATGGTGAGGCTCCCAAATCCATCCTTGGCCTTGGATCCACGCATGAGTCACTGCCTGGGCCCTGGGAGGGGGCAGCCAGGAAGCTGGGCACGGCTGTCACTGGGGCTGCGAACTGGCCTGAGGGACCCCGGAGGAGCTGTCGTCAGGTTAGGGCCCCACTCATCTCGGAACATCCTTTGAATCGAGGCGCGAGCTTTGCGCGATTTCAGGTTGGCTGGGACGGCAGGTGTCCCTTGGGCAGAGCTCCCGCTGAGCCTTTCCTGAGGAGGCAGGGCGGAGCTGGGCTCACAGTATGAGCTGGAAATGCGGTTGTGCAAATGGCATCTCTGCCGTGCTTCTCAGGAGCCCTGACGGTGCCAGGAGACTGGGGTTCCTGCTGGTGCCGGGATCTCACCCGGGCGCTGGGCTCTCCCCGCCTCTTGCACCGTGACTGCAGTACCGGGGGTTTAGCTGACAACCGCGGCAAAGAGGCCTGAGGCCTTGTATCGCCGGCTCACCCACCCCCCAATAGGCTGGTCGGAGTGAGAACTAGCTAGCGGCAGTGCGGGCTGTGGCTGTAACTCGGAGCCATGCGGTAGAGCGAGAAGGGGCTGCCCCAGTCCCTCATCCGGCCGTGACCATAGTTCAGGGTCTCATTCTCTGGCCCCCGCTGGCGATCCCATGCTCTCCCCAGTCTCCGTGGCGGTCCCTGGGCCATGCCCCTGTCTCTCTGTCTCGTGGCTCAGGAGGTCCTGCAGAACCACGTGCGGGAGGCGAAGGTTTTCCACACGGAGTACGGCACAGGCGTGGCCATCCTCACCGGAGCGCACCGCTTTTCCCTCACCACCAACATCGACGACCTCAAGCTGCGCAGGATGCCGGAGGTACCAGGTATGCCACCCCTGCCCCCGCCCTTTCCTTCGGGGCTGGGCAAGGGGCCTGACCACCTGTGTCTGCCCTCCGGCAGGTCTGCAGAAGCTCCCCTCCTGCTGGGCCGTCCTGTCCCAGGACAGAGTGACCATCATCTTGTTAGCCATTGGCCAGGACCTGTACCTCCTGGACAACACGTCCTGCTCCGTGGTGGTGAGTGAGTGAGCGAGCGACAGGGAAGCAATCGCTGGTGGGAGGGGCCAGATCCAGACCTGGAGACCAAAGGCCTCTACCTCCCCGCACAGCTGGTAAAGCCCGCGCTTGCCCTCCCCTTGTGTCCCTGGGGTGGCACTGCCGCTGCTCACAGGCTGGAGAGAGAACAGCGCTCTCCGGGATTCTGCCCTTTTCACAGGCACTAGTGGTTCAGTGCCAATCCCCCCAACCTGCGCCCTGCTGAGCTGCTGCTGTGTCCGTCTGTCCCTTTATCACCTCTGTCTTGTTCTCCCTGCATTGTAGACTCCACCTGGCATCAGCCCTCACGCTGGCGCGTACGTGCAGATGGCAGTGTCCTTCAACTACTGCTACCTGGCCCTGTTCACCGACACGGGCTCTATCTGGATGGGGACGTCCTCCTTGAAGGTGAGTGCTGCCCCTCGGGCGCTGCCTGTCCGTCACATAATGTGATGCAGACAAAACTACACAGGATCGTTTTAGGGGGCAAGACAAAGATGCCACATTTATTATGATAACGCAATTTGATTTATGACCAATAACTAATACCTATCTCCCCCCCTACACACACACACATCCATCAGATGTTCTGCGGTGGCTGCATAGTTACCAGTCCTGAACATAGCTTGAGTTCGTGGCTTGAGTTCGCAGCTTGGGTTCGTAGCTTGTGGCGGTAACTGGCCAGGAAAGCCGGGCACAAGGAAGGGCTGGGTTTCTTTTGGGCATGCACCGATGCCCTTCCATGTTGGCAGCAGAATGTTACCCTCCAAAGTCTTCCATCTCACCCATCCTTTTTTGTAGGCTTTAGTTTGAATCCAGAGTCTATGGGTCTTGCTGTGTCACGCTGCCTCTGGGTTTGGTGATTGATCACCCGGCAATTGCAGATGTGACTTTCAGCCTGGGACCTGGCTTTGATGTTCCTTCTATTGCACCTTTGTTTTTTTCTTTTTAGGGTGGATTCTTCTTACTTTGTTAGGGCTCTTGTCTGCATCTTCAGCCATTGGTGTTTGAACTCTATTTAATCAGGACAGGCTGGTGCTGGAGGTTGATTCCATTATCCATACATCCCTCATTCACACATTTAAACTAAGCTAATAAGATTACAGCAGGGTTTGCAAAAATGAAGGTTGCAGCAAGCTTACAAAATGGAGTGAGCATTTGTAAAATGGGGTTTGAATTTACAATATGGCAAACAGTGAACAGAAGTAGACAAGTGTAGTGAATGGCGAACAGAAGTTACATTACTGAAACAGTGCAAGTCTCAGTGATTTAAGCAGGAATTGGATTGACAGTGAAACTTACAAAGGCAACTGGCTGAACGCTATGGCTCTTAACAAGCATCTTAATTGTCAATTAGCCAGTTATTGGGGTAACCGGTTTTATGAATGAATGTTGTTTCATTCATAAAACTTTACTTATGAAGTTACATTAATAAAGTGAACAATTAAAAGCAATTTCATTCATCAGTTCTACATTGTCAGCCACTAGGCTGGGGGAGGCCGTGGCTGCAGTCTGCTCTCGTGAGTCCCCGGAGCCTGTGGTACAAGCAGCTGGGTCTGAGACAGCCTCAGTGAATCATAGAATCTCAGGGTTGGAAGGGACCTCAGGAGGTATCTAGTCCCACCCCCTGCTCAACACAGGACCAACCCCAACTAAATCATCCCAGCCAGGGCTTTGTCAAGCTGGGCCTTAAAAACCTCCAAGGAAGGAGACTCCACCACCTCCCTAGGGAACCCATTCCAGTGCTTCACCACCCTCCTAGTGAAAAAGTTTTTCCTAATATCCAACCTAGACCTCCCCCACTGCAACTTGAGACCATTGCTCCTTGTTCGGTCATCTGCTACCACTGAGAACAGTCTAGATCCATCCTCTTTGGAACCCCCTTTCAGGTAGTTGAAAGCAGCTATCAAATCCCCCCTCATTCTTCTCTTCTGCAGACTAAACAATCCCAGTTCCCTCAGCCTCTCCTCATAAGTCATGTGCTCCAGCCCCCTAATCATTTTTGTTGCCCTCCGCTGGACTCTTTCCAATTTCTCCACATCCTTCTTGTAGTGTGGGGCCCAAAACTGGACACAGTACTCCAGATGAGGCCTCACCAGTGCTGAATAGAGGGGAATGATCACGTCCCTCGAACTGCTGGCAATGCTCCTACTTATACAGCCCAAAATGCCGTTAGCCTTCTTGGCAACAAGGGCACACTGCTGACTCCTATCCAGTGGTGCAATGCTGGCTGGGGCTTGCCTAGCTTTGGGCTCTTGGGCAGAGCAGATGGAGCAGAGCCGTACCCTGGTCTCCGTGTGGACGTGGCGCTGGTGTTCCTGGGGGCGCAGACAGCACCGCGGTGCTAGTGACCAGCTCAATGCGGCACGTGGTGCCGGGAAGGTTCCTACAGCTGCCCTGGCGGAGGATCCTGATGTCCCCGTCTGAGCAGAGCCTGCGCTCCTCTTACCTCCCAGCCGTACGTCCCTGTAAATCGCGTCTCTTCCCCTGCAGGAGAAGCTGGGTGAATTCAGCTGCGATTTCCGCACTCCGCCCAGACAGATGGTTTGGTAAGTGGGGCTCTTGTTTTGTTCTGGAATGGGGCATCTCCCCCCCCCGAGCTATCTGGGCCCCCTTCCTCCTCTGGGGCGCTGGTCTGGAGCAGGTACCTCGCCAGCGGCTGTGTGGCTCCAGGAGGGCGCCGATGCTGCCGTGGGCTGAGTGTGACTCTGGGAGGCTGGCGGGGAGGTTTGGGAACGTCTGCGGAGCGGCAGGAGCGGGCTGCAGCGGGCCAGGGAGTTTGGCCGAGAGGGACTGTGCGGAGGGAGACTGGCGGGGAGGTTTGGGAACGTCTGCGGAGCGGCAGGAGCGGGCTGCAGCAGGCTGGGGAGTTTGGCCGAGAGGGGCTGTGCGGAGGGAGGCTGGCGGGGAGGTTTGGGAACGTCTGCGGAGTGGCAGGAGCGGGCTGCAGCAGGCCGGGGAGTTTAGCTGAGGGGCTGTGGGGCTGGGCACAGCCTCACTCCAGTGTGTCCTAAGGGAACAGCCGTCTCGTTG